GGGCGGGATGATGCCCCGTGCGCGCACCCTTTTTGGACACACGTGTACAGCTGTGGAGAAGCCTCTCTCTCTATATATATATATATCTTTTCCGCTGTCTTAGCCCTGCCAACCCTCACTTGGAGGAACGTGGCAGGGGTGATTAAACTAGCGAGGCGAGCGCTAGTACAGTCGGGGCCTTGACCTAAGGAACCCCAAATAAGGAACGAGGCCCCTGTTTTCCATAAGTTAAACTTCGATTCCGATCGAAAACATCAGGAAAGCCTGAGGCAGGCTGCGAAACACTCAAGGAACGCGGGGCCCCTCCCCAACGAAAAGGGTTCCTTCCTCAGGGCCCCGACTGTAATGTGACACAACGTCTGCATAAACATAAACGTTCGGAGGTCCGCGCGGATCTTCTGGATCGGCGCCGCTCCTCTCTGGCGGGCGGAGCGCGCCAGGGTCGGCGCCGGAGGCGGCGCCAAAGGGGCGAAGTGCCAATCCGAGAAATCCGCGCGGGACTCCAAAGGCGTAGGTTGATGAGGTTCTTCTTGTAACAACCTCCTCCTCCTTCTACTCCTCTCTCCTTCTCTCTCGACCTAACTGTGATCCTCCTCCTCCTCCTGCTCCTCCTGCTCCGCCTTCTCCTGCTCCTCCTCATCCTCCCCATCCTGCTCCGAAGGAGAGTCGAAAAGTGGGGACTGGTTCAGGAACGGAAACAATGACTGGCATCCACGATGCATCGCCGATAGATCGGCGATTGGCCCCCGACTGGGAACCCGTTCCTGGACAGGTAGGGGCACCCAGGCCCAGATCGGCGAGGCATTGGCGATTGGGTGTCAATGTTTCCCCTCCAGAGCCAGTCGCCCCGTCAGGTACATGATAACATGGATTCAGGATCCCTGGTTCTGGCGCGTGGGCGACACATCCACGGATCTTGGAGAGCACCTTCGAAACATGGGGCCTGTGCCACCCGATGTGGCGACGGGGCGCGTCGATTCTGTACGAGGCGGGCCCCGTCGCTAATCCCCGCGCCTTCAAGTATTATAAGCGCTTCCTCGACGCAGCCACTGGCCCATATGCCCCCCCGTCCTCCCGCCCGGGCCCAGCCTTGGAGAAGCGCGGCTGCTCCAAGAAGCTCCTGATGGCGACCAGCTTGGCCGTCTCGCTCGGCACCCTGCGGCGGCCCCTGGCCGAGGCCTCCACTCCGATGCCCCGAAGGTCCAGGCACTCGAACAGGCACTCATTACGCGCCAGTGCTGCGAGCGCCCTGCACGCCGCAGCCGCACGGAAGACGTCCTGCTGCGCCAAGATCTTCAGCACCACCACGTCTATGTCGCCCGGCAGAACGGCGAGAGCTCCCGCGCTCGCGCTGGTACTGGCCCTGGTGGGCAAGCGCTCGGACGGGCTGGGCGGCGGCGGCGCGGCCTGTGTCTCCTCCGCGTCGGTGTCGCTCGGGGAGGTGAGCCCGTCGCCCGACAGCGGGGCATCCTGAAAGTCGGGGGCCTTCCACGAGGGGACCTCCTGGTCGATCCTGCCGTGGCTCATACCGTGATGGGAGTGCTGGAGGCACAGGCCGCCTCCACCAGGGAAGCGGCGGCCTCCCCTGCACGGCCGCCGGCTGCACTGTGCGCCGTGGCCGCTGGCCCAGACGCGCGCGAGGCAGCGCCCCATGTCGACGCGCGACTGCGGCGCAGGCAGGGGCCGCCTTGGCGCGCAGCGGTGCGGCGGCACCGTGGGGGCCGCGTCGCCGCGGCGGCGCGACCGCGTCGACGCCAGCCGCTGTGGCGACGCCTCGCTGTCGCTGGTGTCGGCCTCCGCGGCTGTGCCCGCCGCGGCGGCGGCTTGGGACCGCCGCCCGTAGCCGTTGGCATCCGTCGGATGCCGTCGGCTGGCCATGGCGGCCGCCTCGGCGTGGTCGAGCACAGCGCGACGCGCGGGATCGCCCTGGGCGGCCGCGGCGGCGGCAGCTGCTGCGGCAAATGCGGCGGCCTTCCTCGCGGGCGTGGGCCCGTCGATGCGGCCGTGCTGTGGCTCCCCATGCCGCCGTGCGGCGAGCAAATGCCAGCCGCAGTAGTCGGCACCCTCCACGGCCGCTCGTGAGCACTGCGCGCCGGTGCCGCCGCCCCACACCCTGGCGGCGCAGCGGCTTTCGCCTGGGGCGCGGCCCGACCCCTCCTGCCGCGTCCAGGTGCGGAGACGGGGGACGCCTTCTTGTGCGCCTGGCGAGCTCCCTCGGCTGCGGAGGCGGGGGCCACGTCGCTGCGCGTTAGGCGCCCTCTCCACGCCCAGCGGCGCCGCGGGTGGTGCTTGCACCCTCGAGGGCATCGGCGCTACACTGCATTCCTGGACTGCCGCGGCCTCCCTCGAGGCCGCAGCAACGGCCGCTGCACTCCGCGCAGACCCAACGGCCTCAGCTGCCGCGGCCTCCTCAGCGCACCGCGCGGCCTCTTCAGCGGCAGCGGCCTCCTCAGCAGCCACCGCTGGTGCTGCTTGCCATGCAGCCTCATCCGCTGCCGCACCCTCCTTGGCAGCCGAACGCCCAATTTTGATCAAAACGATCCTTCGCCGCTTGCAGGGCTGCGGGGCATCGCCCATCGCGGCATGCCTACGGCAAGGCTGGCGAGCACCTGGGGCCCCGTCCGCGCCTGACCCAGCGCTCGCCGACGAGCGGAAGGAACAAGGATTGCAGCGACGATCACAGCCTTCTCCTCCTCCTCCTCCTCCTCCTCCTCCTCCTCCTCCTCCTCTTCCTCGTCCTCCTCTTCCTCCTCCTCCTCCTCCTCCTCCTCCTCCTCTTCCTCGTCTTCCTCGTCACTTCGTGTCCTCGCCCTCCTCCTCCTCCTCCTCCTCGTCGTCGTCGTAATCGTCGTCGTCGCCTCGTCGCCCGCAGTCCGAGCCGCTAGAGTGGCCAGAGGCGGTGGGCGGATCGGGCGAGCCGTCAGAGGGCAGAGCTGGCAGGACGTCTGGGTCTGACTAGCTACCAGACCACCCCAACCCAACCCGAAGACCCGAATTTCGGGTTGGGGGGGGGGTACGGGTTCCATATGTGTTTTTTCCATGTTCCCCGCCCCCCCCCCCCCCACTGGAAATGGAGGGCAAATTGAGGCCTTCGGGTTGGGTTGGGGTGGTTTGGTGGGTGGTGAGGGTCAGCACCGATGGCACAGATGGGCAAGTGCACATCCCCAATGGAAGGTGGCCGGCAATCCACAAACAAGACTTCTTGAGGAACGGATTCCGGAAGTTGCAGCCCACCGATCACAGCCCAAGGGGGAGGAGAAGGACCGTGAGCAGGAGCAGGAGAGGGACGAGGGAGAAGGTAGAGGGGATGGCGGGGCGATCGTGCGCTGTCAGTGCACAGCACATCATGAGACAGGAATTGACATGACGCGGAGCGGGAGTGATGATGATTGCTATACACCGGGGCTACGAAAATTGTGAGCCGCTTCGTGCTTCCACGAAGACAAGTCTTAGGCGGAAGCGCCACGGCGAATTCGAGCTGAAAAAGTGCCGACCTCGATGTTCGAGGAAGTCCTGGGCGGGAGCGCCATTTCGAAATCAAACCAGAAGGGTGCCGAATTCCAGTTTTCAGGAAATCCTGGGCGGGAGCGCCATTTCGAGATCGAACCCGACAGGCTCCGAATTCTATTTCGAAGAAAGTCCTGAGCGGAAGCGCCATTTCGAAATCGAGCCAGGAAGGTTTCGAGTTCTAGTTTGGAGGAGGTCTTGGGCGGGAGCACCATGTCGAAATCAAACCCGAAAATGTCGAAATCCTTCGAAATTATTCTTTGTTGAGGAAGTCTCAATCTAGACCGTCGTTTCGACACGGCCACACCGTTTGGCACTTAACATGTCAAACATCTGACATGAGGTGTCGAACATGTGATTTTCGCTTGTGACTTCCTCCAACAAACGATCCGGACTGGATTTCGAAACCATCGGGTTCGAATTCGAAACAGCGGTTCCCCCCGAAACATGAGCAAACATTGCTTGAACAGAACATTGTACTGGGGTCCCGCGGCCTAGCGGGCCCCTTTGACGTCTGCTCTCTTGTCGCAGGTGCAACGTCACTGACAACGTTGTCGCCCAACAGGAAGCGCTGCATTTTGGCTGAACTTTCGCAGTGGCGAAATATGGTGGTCGCAAATGCTCTCGACGGGACAAGCTGAAAGCGAAGTCGAATCACGACCAACACTCATAACTCCCAACCCTCCCGTGTGGAGTTGGGCACTCGCTTTAATCCGCAGTATCCCCATCGGAGGTCCACCTGCTGCCCAGGTGGAAAGGCTCGCGTGGCGTACCAGTGTGTCCATTTCGGCACATCGCTTACGTTTTCGCCCCCCCCGCCAAACGAATTTCACCTGCGGCCTCAATGGGAAAGTCCGCTTGGCGTACACAGGCCCATTTCGGCGCACCCCTCACAAGGATCGTGACCACGTATGGAGCCCCACATACGCCCCCCTGCGGGAGGGTGCATGGCACGCCCGCGCCCTCTTCGGCACACCCCTCACTAGGAACGTGCCCCCAGAGCCCACGCCCCCCAGCAGGAGGGTTCGCATGGCGTGCCCACGCCCTCTTCGGCGCAAACCTCGCGAGGATCCCAGCCGACAAGGGACCCTGGTGGAGGGGTCCCCACGAAGGTGTGATCGCATTCCGGCGTGACCCTCACAAGGATCGTGCCCTTGTTACAGCCCCGCCTGCGGTCCCAGTGGGAGTGTCGACATGACGAGCGCAGGCTCAGTCTGGCGCACCCCTCACGAGGATCGTGCCACATGGGGAGCTCCACCTACTTCGGGGATGTCGACATGCGGGGCGCAGGCTCATTTCGGCGAACCGCTTCGATTGCGCAGGCGCGCAGCGGCCGAATCAGGCGAGGACGGGAGTGCGGAGCACGGAACCTCCTCCTCTCCTCCTCCTCTTTTCCGTTCTTGTTTTCTCCGAATCCTCCTGTCCCTTCTTGTCTTCGTCCTCGTCCTCGTCCTCCTCCTCCCCCTCCTCCTCCTTGTCGTCGTCGTCGTCGTCATCGCCTCGTCGCGCACAGTCCGAGCCGCCGAGTGGCCAGAGGCGGTGGGCAGATCAAACGAGCCCCTCCATGGTGGCCAGCAGGACCCCCCGCGGCTGGGCTCTGCGGCCGCCCCCGCAGGGTGCACGCCAGAACAGCGGGAGGACACGCCTTCGATGCCTCCCTGGGTCGGGTGCTGCTGCAGCGGTGTCCCTGGCCCAGGGTGTCCCGGGCCTTTCTCTGCATCTGGAAGCTCCCAGGGCCCTCTGGTCCTCGTGAGGGCTGCTCCGGAGGCCCTGTCGCCCTCCCAGGAAATTCTTGGGACACCCTGGGCCGGGGCCACCTCCGGCAGCACCTGACCACGGGCTAGCAGCACGCTGTGACTGCGGAGCCCGAGGATTCCGCCGACAGCGTGCAAACTGTTCGCTTCCACTTCCGCTGCCTTCCAATGGCGGGCCTGCCGCCATTTCACTTCCGCCGTCTTCCGGCAGTCTTCGGTCGGCTTCCGTCGATGGCGAGCTGCGCGCGCCGAAAGCGGGGCCCTCTGGAACGCCGCCAGGTGAAAACACGTACCACATGCTCGCGGGCCGAACGCGTGTTGGATACTCTCGTTCCTCGCACGTACTTCTGCGCGCGAAGAGTCCGACGTCTGCTGCTTCACACCTCGCCGATCTAAAACCCACATCGCGTCCACTAAAGCAGAACCCTGGGCAGGAGCCCTTACACGTAAAAGAAGACACCTGCACGATGAACGTGATGAGCAATAATACCTGAAAGCGCATGCCAAACAGACGCATGTTGGATATCTGTCCGGCCGAAGCTTTGCATGTTAAGACTGCAAAGGGCAGCCAGCGGCAATCTGGTGGGCCTGGTCCTAAGTCCCAGGGCAACCCTGCGAGGGCCGCTGACCTCCGCAGGGCTATTTTATTCATCTGCGCAGAATTCTCAATAATCTCTTTGCTGTTCGAAATCATTTTTCCCCGCGGGCCATCGGCGATCGAGCGCGGCCGCGGCGCGCTGCGAAGTCAAACTCGGGGCGGCGGCGACAGGCAACGACGCGTTCTGAGTCTCTCTCTGGCTAGAAATCCCAAGGCGGTCCGCGACTGCACAATAATCGCCTCGGTCGACAAGGCCCGCGCGGGGTGGCAGCGGCTGGTAGCGGGTCCCATCATCGCCAAGGCTGCGAAATCCCGCTCCAAGGCCTCGAATAACCTGACCCGCGCGTAACCCTGAATCTAAGGGTACTCGTGTACAGGACCAGATAGAAACGCAACTGGCGCGCGCGTACACAAGAAATCTGTTTCGAAAGTTCCGCGCAAGACGGAGAAACGGCCGTGGCGACCCGAACGACCATTGGCGCGTCAAACCAGGGCGCACCGCGCGTGGCCCGCGCAAACGAATCGGCGGCGCACCAATTCAAAAACGCCCAGTCCACGAGAGGGCGCAGGAGCGCATTGCAAATGTATCTGGCACATGGTACATGCGGTGTAAAGGTGGTGCACATGCTGTGTACACGTGGTGAAAAATGGTGTTCAAGTTGGCGTCAAAGTGGTGTGACCATGGTGTGAAAGTCACGTTGACGTAGTAAAGAAGTGGTACCAAGGTGGCACAAATGTGATGTACATGTTTCGGGATTTTGAATTCGCGTCCTCTGGTGCATTCCTGGGCGCGGTTTCCAATTCCTGTGGGCCCCCCAGAACTGCATTGATTCGTCGCAGTCCGAATCCCAGGCGGTTCCGCCGTATTCCTCGGGGCGCGGGCGGGAACTCCGGGAGACCCTGGCGCGCGCGAAATGCGGGCTGCGGTAAATGTGGCGCTAATGCAGTGTAAATTCGACGTATAAGTGGTGTTCAAGTGGGGTAGAAGTTGTGTAAAAGTAGTGTAACAACACTGTAAGGTGGTGTAGAAGTTGTCTATAAGTAACGTACAAGTGGTGAACAAGTTGTGAAAATGTTGTGTACATGTCGCGTATGTGTCGGGTCTCTTCGCGCGCTCAAAAATGGAATTACAATTCGCGGCGCGCGGTCGCGACTCGCACTTCGGCGAGTGGAGCGGCGCGCGGCCCGGCCCGGCGCGGCGCGCGTCGCGGGACGGCACGCTGCTCCACGAAGATTCACAAGTTTGCGCGGTCGGTCGCCCGCGGGAAACGGCGCGGCGCGATGGGGAGAACGGCGCGGCGCGACGGAGCGGCGAGGCGCGCGCCGCGGCGCAGCGAGGCCCGCGGACTCGCGAATTGGCACCGTCACCAACGCGTCGGGCGACGCTCGACATGGCAGGGAGCGAAGCGCGGCGCCGCGCGGCGTGGCGCGGCCGGCGCGCAGCGGGGCTCCAGCAGGCCCGCGGGTTCACAAGCTGGTCGGATACGAGGTGCACCGAGGAATCCCCGGGGCAATCGCTGCCCGAGGCATGAAACAGCAAGCGCAGCAAAGTGCGCTCTGGAATTTCGAATCATCAGGCGGCAACGCGCCGCGCCGCCGGACTTAACGCGCTCTTTTACGGAGATATGGACATGCCCATGCGCCGCCCTGTGCAACCTCCACAGCTGCGCGCGTCGAGACACGCGGCGGACTCGCGTTCGATGGCCCGGGGGGCGGGGGGCGCCCGCGTGAAAAACGTGTGCCAGATGCGCGCGTGCCGAACGCATGTGCGCGTTAAGACTCCGACGTCTGCTGCTTTACACTCCTCTGGTGCACGATATCATTTCTGCCCGCTACAAGAGCGTCCCGGGCTGGAGCGCTCAGTGCGGGGGAAAGATAACCACCGTATTTGGTTGTCAACAGCTAACTCCCGGGACTTTCCGCGGCGCCTCTCGCGGCCCTGACCTGCAAGGGGCCCTTCGGGCGGCGACCTCCTCTCGCCGTCCACCCTTCATGTGCTTCTGCTGAACGGCGCGTTTCGCCATGTCGGTCATCCTCTCGCGCTGCCACGCTGGGCCCACCTCTTCTGCCGTTCGCGTCTCCCCCTCCCCGGCCCCCTTCGTCGCATCCTCCTCCGCGCGGGCCCTGAAGGCCGAGGGCAGCGAGCGTCGAGGGGCAATGGGGCGGGGAGGTCAGGGGGGCCAGGGGCCAGGCAGAAGCAGGCCTGGAGGGGGCGAGGCGGGGCAACGACGAGGAGGGCCGCGGAGAAACGGCAGCGCATGGGCGGGAAGAGAACGAGGCGACTGGGTGGGAAAGCACCTCAGAGGCCCGCCAAGACGGGGCAATTACATGGAGGGCGGAAGAGAAACGGCAGCGCATGGGCGGGGCGCGGATTGCACGGGCGCGGCTGAATGCGCCCAGAGGGGCGCGAGGTACAAATAGAGGGGCCGTGCTAACCCCCCCCCCAAAAAAAAAAAAACGCTCTCGCTCCTCTCGCGGAGGCACGGGCGCGCCCGTCGCCGGCGCGCCGCGATAGCCCGGGGGCCCTTGCGAGCCGAAGCGGCGGCGAGAAAAAGGAGCGCAGAGAGAGGCGCAGGAGAGGGGGAAGCCGACAAGGGCTCTGCAACCATAGCTCCCACCTTTCTCGCAGCCGCAGCGCCGCCTCGCCTCTGAAGCTGAAGCTCTTGTCTCAGTTGATACCGTAGCCATCCCACGTACTACCAGGGCCTCAGCGACGTGCAGCTGGCACAGTTTCACGAACGCGTAGGACTCGAAAGCACCTCTCAGAGAGATCCTTGAATGGATTGTCTGACTCGAGGTCCGTGATGACAGCGAGTCCATCCGAATTCGCTGCGTCCGTAGCCTGCCCCAACTGGCCCATGAAACTCTGTGGCTGGATTCCATGTTGGTCGTATGTTTTACCAGTGCGCTCCAGGAACCGATCTGCCGCGCTGAGCTCCCTGGTCCACTGAGGAACCGACCTCTCGCCCTTGGGAACCAGCTTGGCCTCGAAATCCGGGAAATCGGAGTCCTCGATCACTTCATCAGAGCACGCGTGTGCACTCGGAAACGCTGTGGGGATGGCCTTTGCTGCGAGGTGCATCCTGAGAGTGCGAGTCCAAACCTTGCACCATCCACGGACTTGCTCCGTTGCCTGCATTTGTCCCAGATCTCCTTCATCGTCGCAGCGTGGATCCAGAGCGCCTCGACGTAGACGCTGTCTTCGGTCTGGCACCGCTGCTTGTGGACATGCTGCTTGGCATAGCCTGCGCGACGGTGGCGATCCACCTGCACCTCGAAATGCAGGAGCACAGGTTCACCTCTGGGCTGCCGTGCGACGACACTTGCACCATGTCGCGAGTGCAAGAGGTGCGGCTGGACGTCCTCTCACAGAACACGCCGTAGACGTTCTCACAGCTCGAAGGTTCTGGCTTCAGCTCAAACAGCCCATTCTTGCTCCAGATGGATGCCACTGCTGCCAAGATGGCACTCCGCAGTGATATCTGCCTGCTCGTCGTCGCCCTCGTTCGAGTCTTCATCCTGGCCCTCGACCTTCTCGGTCGCCTCGAACTGCTCGATCCGGCGCTTGGCATCTCTGTTCTGGCGACGCCTCCGGCGCTTATCCCCTCTTGCTTGGATAGCCTCCTCGGTCATGAGCTGAGCCCGCGCACGGCTTAGGCTAGATTGTTTTCGGCAGGTTCTCAGACCCCCCTGGCGTGTCCACTGCTTCCCCCAAGTCCGCCATCATGTTGAAGTGGCCTCTCTCGTCGTTCAGGGAGCGCTTGACCCTATTGGGGCGATTCCGCAGCTGTCTCTCGAAGTAGCGGCTCCAAGAGACAAGCGCGGAAACTGAAAGGGGATTGCGAGCCGGTTCATTCTGGAACGCTGGGCGCGTTGCATCTCTGAGCGCGCAGCGAACTGATAGAGGAAGGTCGGCAGCCCCTCAGCGTAGTCCGCGGGGCTCGCGGTCTCTGGGACGAACGCCGTGTGCGCAAGCCCCCCAAGTTGGCGTTGAGCGCATGCGTGTCCGTTATCCGCCTCGACGCGCTGCTTGATCAGCGCTGTCTTGGCACGCTGCAAGTCGAGGTACCGCTGGAGTTTGACCCGTTGAATTTCGGCTCGAAGCTCCTCTCCCGCTTCCTGGAGCTGAACGACCCTGTTCTTACGGACCAGTGAACCACCTTCGGCATTCTGCATCTTGACGAGCACCTGGCCCAGACGGTGAACTTCCCGCTCGAGGTTCTGGGTCGTCGCCATGAGGAGGGCAATGTTAGCCTTGACGTGATAGACATTTGGTACCGAGTCCGATGGCACCCACTCCCTCGGGGCCTCCTCAGGTAGCCCGAGGCGGTTGACGTAATCCTCGAGGGTCTTGTTGTAGTCGCCCACGCGGCGTGCCCTTTTTGCTTTTTCACTTCTGCGTTCGATGATCCTTTGGCTCGGGCCCGACATCTTATCATCTCTCTTCTTCTCGGCATCAGATGACGGGGGCTCCTTGTCGACATCCTCGGGGGCCACGTAGTCCACGACGTCGCTGTCGCCACCGACGTGTGCCATGGCGCCTCTGCCTCTGCTGGATTCGAAGCGTTCCAGGGAGTGCGGATCGCGCGCGTCGGTTGCCCTGCGCTACTCGTCACACAGCTCTTCGTCGATCTCCATAGTTCCCGCGCCGCCCGCGCCCGCGGGATCCTGGGAGTCCGAGTCGGGGCGAGTCTCCTCCAGGGCTCTCTTGAGAAATCCTCGGCGGGTCTCTCGTACCTCGCCTGCCCATTGTTCTTCCTGAAGATCGTGGCCGGGAGACGTGCGCGGACGGCCTTCAGGGGGCGCCGCTGGCGCCGAGCCGTGGGAAGCAGCCTGGGGGTCGTCGGCCAACGCGGCAGCTAAGCCACCTGAGCCGACGCCCATCTTCTCGT